ATACCTACCTAATCCTTTCACTGGTACCGAGAGAACTGAAAAATATCTAATGTGGGGAAGCAATAAAAAAATAAATGGATAACTCTAAAGTGAACATGTGCTTCAGACTATGCACACTGAAGTATTTACATAGTCTGAACCAGCAGTAACAGCACTCTTTAAATCCAAACTCCAGGGAATTATCTTCACAGTATTACAGCAGGCAATTGTTCTTGTTTCTCAGAAACTCATTGCTGGCATGCAGGCATACTTCTATGACCTGCATGTAGCTCTACCCCCCTAGGGATTGCTGATAAATTGGGTCCCCCTATATCCTGCACAGCCAGTCAGCATTTTCCACACAAGCTCTCATCCTGAGACAGAAATCAGTCCTTGAGTGTTTGTTTTGTTGTTTTATTAAGGGGATTAGAACTTGGATAGGGTAAGGGGTTATAGGATGCCCAACAGAACAGATATCTGCGAACAACTTTCTGAACTATTCACAAGTTTCTCTTCTTCAGCCACGCAGTATCTAGTGGAGTGCTAGCCAGCACATCCAGTTCTAATACCCTAGATCAGGGGTGTCCAAACTTTTTTGGAAGAGTGCCAGATTTGATGAAGTGAACATGTGCGAGGGCCGACCATTTTGCCCAACATTCTGATGAACCATTAAAATTAAATGCAAATGAACTATTTTATGCAAAAGTTTATTGAAAACGGCATACTTTTCATTTTGTGACTTGGATGACAAATCTAAACAGGTGTTAAATCACTCTGCCTTTAATCTCTGTTTTTTTTACTTCTTTTAATATTCTGGCTTAATGGTGGCCCTTGTGGCTTTGTGTGGAGGCTCAGCACTCTCTTGCCGTTGGACTTGACGTCATCAGCCAGCACAGGGAGAAGGAAAGCCCAAATCTCGCAAGATCTCGAGATTTGGGCTTTGTTTCTCCTTGCACTGTCTGACGTCAAGCGATCCTGAGCACCAATCCATTATAGCCCAAATTGATAAATGGTAGCCCCAGTAGTAATTCCCTGCGCACCACCTGGGATCCCTCGGCCCACGTTCCGGACCCCACAGATGAGCTTCCCAATATATAACTTACGGCCCTCCACTAGTGATTCTGCGAACGCCACTGAGGACTCCAGGGATCTGTCGAGCGGGAATTGACGTCATCAGCCGGCACACAGAGAAGGAAAGCCCAAATCTCACGAGATCTCGGACGTCGCGAGATTTGGGCTCTCCTTCCTGCACCAGCTGATGATGTCAACTGCCGCAGCTAGAGATCACTGGAGTCCTCAGTAGCTTTCAGGGAATCACTACCGGGGGCCGTAAGTTATATATATTTGGGTTAAGCGCTCAACTTATAATTCCCTAGTGAAATACACAAATCATACCTCTCAAGTGATACAAATAGTAAAAATAAATATTATATAGAACTAGTGCAATATCTTCATATACATAAAGAATATATATCCCCTGGTGATATAGTGAAAACTTATATCTCTTAAACTGTGCAGAAAGTGAAATACAATGATTAAAATAAATGGTGATGCCACACTGTGAAAAATAATGGCAAAGTGTTCAAAATAATGTCACTCCCATGCTGCAATAGTGCTCTTTGTGAAAATCTTGACGTGACTCCCCTCAATAGCAGAAATGCCCCCTCACCTTCCACATTCGACCCTTGCGGGTCACAGAGCTTTTTTTATATATATCTCTCTGTTAGATGTCCTCCACTGCCTCCACCGACCATGATCCACCTCCGGGCAGTAAGTACCTCTCCAATTACTCCCCTCATACACCGAACTTTGCCAGGTAAACCTCTCCTCCACTGCCACCTCCGACCAGGATCCTCCTCCAGGCAGTAAATAATATCCAATACCCCTCACACAATGGACTCCGGCTCAGAACGATTCATATAAAACGACAAAACAGACCTCCATAGTGCAACACACCGTTTTATTACACTAATCCAATGCAGTGGAACATTAAACTCACATGTCCTCACGATTTGACAAGCAGTTTCCCATATGCTATGGGTGTATACAGGAGTCCCAAGATGGCGTCCGAACCCGGAACCGGAAGTACGTCACCCCTACGTCAGGGGTGACGTAGGGGTGACGTACTTCCGGTTCCGGGTTCGGACGCCATCTTGGGACTCCTGTATACACCCATAGCATATGGGAAACTGCTTGTCAAATCGTGAGGACATGTGAGTTTAATGTTCCACTGCATTGGATTAGTGTAATAAAACGGTGTTGCACTATGGAGGTCTGTTTTGTCGTTTTATCTGAATCGTTCTGAGCCTGAGTCCATTGTGTGAGGGGTATTGGATATTATTTACTGCCTGGAGGAGGATCCTGGTCGGAGGGTGGCAGTGGAGGAGAGGTTTACCTGGCAAAGTTCGGTGTATGAGGGGAGTAATTGGAGAGGTACTTACTGCCCGGAGGTGGATCATGGTCGGTGGAGGCAGTGGAGGACATCTAACAGAGAGATATATATAAAAAAAGCTCTGTGACCCGCAAGGGTCGAATGTGGAAGGTGAGGGGGCATTTCTGCTATTGAGGGGAGTCACGTCAAGATTTTCACGAAGAGCACTATTGCAGCATGGAGTGACATTATTTTGAACACTTTGCCATTATTTTTCACAGTGTGGCATCACCATTTATTTTAATCATTGTATTTCACTTTCTGCACAGTTTAAGAGATATAAGTTTTTCACTATATCACCAGGGATATATATTCTTTATGTATATGAAGATATTGCACTAGTTCTATATAATTTTTATTTTTACTATTTGTATCACTTGAGAGGTATGATTTGTGTCTTTCACTAGGGAATTATAAGTTGAGCGCTTCACCACTTATATGATTTGATTTCACACATCTTGCGGTATAAAGAACAGGTGATAGCAGCTTACTCACTAGGTTCTGTGGAGCGCAGGGGGATTTTTGTATTTTATTTGTATTTTATATATATTTGGGTAGCTCACCTGTGGGGCCGTTTCAGTCCGGAACGCGGGCCGCAATTGGCCCGCGGGCCGGACTTTGGACATGCCTGCCCTAGATGAACTCCTCTTCACCCAGCAATCTGGAGACTCTCTTCCTGAGCAGGGGATCTGGCTCTTGTTCCTTTAAATAAGTAGTGCTCCTTTCCCTATCTGCCCAGGGGGTGCAGATGTACTCACTCAGATCCTTTCCTGTACAGTTTTTGGGATCGCTGCTGCTATCAGTCCAATCAGCTGAGCTGCCCTTCCCTACCATACAAGCGGTCCTCTCTCAGGGGGCAAGTAAGTCCCTTCGCATGAGTTAGTTTTGTTTGGAGCACGAATTTGGAGGATTTATGAACTTTTATTCATGAAAAGTTATTTCTAATCATTTTTGTGTATTTAAAGTGGACACTTTATTGTGTACACTGATCACGTTTGCAGTGTGTGATTTATGTAATTGTATGGGGGGGGGGGGGGGTTTGTTACATGTGTAGAATATGTATTTGAATATTTTATTTGAATATTTGTGAATTGATGTTGGGGTAATATTACAGTAGCGCTGCACTATATAATTTGTTTAGTTTTGTACACTGTATAAGGTATTCGTTTAGAGTGTGAGCGGCTTATATCTTTAGGTACTCCATATAGTGCAGGAGGATTATGTATCATTTATCTCATGGCCCTGGCAGGAAGTCGTCCATACCACTGCCTGAACACAGTACTGCCTATTATATGTAGCTAATGCTACTACAGTATATTACAGCACACACATCAGCCACATCATTTAGTAGTAGAAATGGTTCATTTAGGCTAGCTTGGACCAAACAAACGAAAGCGCATTGAAACCATTGGAATTCTGCTTTTGAATGTCATTTATAATTTCACATGAATAATAGTAAAAAAAATATTTCTGCACTGGGTAATATCCACTTTCACCCACAATTGAAAAATCAACTACACACTATTAATAAACTGTAAAAAAAATAAACTAAAATATTACAATGCTGCTTACAGCCGTAGCAACCTCAATGGTTAAAAAGGGGTCAGAAAGCACTTTTTGTATTAAACCATCCAAGGTAAGCTTGGGGTCTACCAGAGATCACCCTTCCAGAGCTCTGCTCATTAACCTCTAAATTAATTCTGGCTGCTGGTCTCAGGTGGGAGACTCTTGGAATGAATGCACTCACAATGAAATTGGAGAGGGAACATTATTCTTCACTTGTGCAAATCAATAAAGTTTTTTATGAAAAGTTAAACAAAATAAAAAAATTAAAAAACTAAACCAGAACAACACTGCCTTGAATATCATAAATTAGTTAAGTAGCGTTTTTTGGTTTGTGGTGCTCAGAGGCAAACTCCTTTTTATCTGTCCATGTCTCCATGATTTATTTTACTGAGAAATCACTTTTGAAAAACACTCCTTAGTATTCCTGGCAGTGGCCATCATAAGTAAAGGAAGATGATTTGTGTAGCATTTACTTCCAGGAATCCATCTGCTCTTAGAGATGCAAGCAAGAAGGTGTACTTGGCTAAGAAAACTCCTCTTCTCTTGAGGACTGCTGTGATGTATGACCTCGTTTTTGTCTAGGCCTGGAATCAACTGAAGAAATTTAACTTCCCGTTCTCTCAGTTCAAAACATACTGTAGCATCTAATATCACTGCTGCCAACTCTTCCCAATACATTTCAGTCAATCGGCCGTTATGGGTGGACTTTTGATGGACATTTATCATCTTTATGTCTTCTATTGCTTATGTGGATATTTCTGTTGCACAAAAGCAGATATACTGTCACTGTGCATATGGATGTATGGTGAAGACAATAGAAATGCTTAGTATAGATCGGGAATCCATCCCAGTCATTCCCTTCTAATTGTTAGGCCTTTGGCCTGTAATGTCTGCTTATTAGTTGGCTTTTTCTAAATTCGCTGAATAACTCATTTGAAGAGGCATGTGTGCTTTCTGAGCCTTCTGCAAGCATCCAGTTGGTTGATTGACTTATTTTATTTATGTCAGCTTTTCCTCTCTCCAGGTGGCTCCCTTACAAAATTGGCATATTATTCTACTGTTCAGCATAAGGTAGCCAAGGTCAGGTCTTTTGATCACACAGGAAAGGTAAGCAATTTTCTGGTTCCATTCCTACATTATGTTGTTGAATCTGCATGTTTTCCCTACGTATCCCTAGGTAATTGCGGACACACACACAGCCAACGCATCAGTCAGATGGTATCAGGCTGTCTCAACATTTTATAACACAGAGAAACCCTTTGAGGACCAAGGGATGTATTTGTCCGATGTTTTTAATTGCGTGTATCATCTGATTAAGAAGTTAAAACTCTTTTTTTTTTTTTGGTTTGAGTCAAAATATTAGTTCTTATCAACAAACAACAAATGGATCTAGCTTTTTGCCAATTATTTCATGAAATGGCTTAGTTACAGCAACTGAAGTGTACGAACTTTAAAAACAAAAAAATGATTCTTTTGGCGTTCCAAAATCTTACGGTCCTCAAAGGGTTAACCTTAGGCACCTCTGCTAATATTTAATCTATCTACAGCTCACAATACGCTAGTACATGTTGAGGCTTATGAATAAACAATGAAATCCCAAAAATGAGGCTGAGAATAAATCAATCCAAGAGTACAATATGCATCTAATAGATGATGAAAACTGCCATAACTAAGAGGGTGCTGCTGCTGAGTTGCATGAGCTGACACTCCTTTCTTGTTTTACACAGGTTTGCAGAGTGAGGAGCGCACTACCCATAGTGTAGCATTTATGAGGACGTTTAATGGACAAAATAAAATCTATGGTTCCACTCACAAACAACTGTGGGGTATAGCGGCTTGTCAGGTGGCTTGGAGGATAAGTCCAGAGTCCGTGTAGAATTATCTCAGATCTCCGCCTTGGACACTGACTGGGGAACGCTGAAGTTGAAATGACCCTGCTGGCAGAGATGCATGGAGCTGTTGTAAAGTCTGAAGTTCAAGAGCCAAAATCCTCCTGTGGTCACTGTTTTGCACCCCAATATACAGGGATGTGTTTTTTGAAACATGCTGATAAAGAAGCAGGATTGCTTTGAAATGCATCCCTGTATATTGGGGTACACAGCGGTGACAGCAGGAGGTTTTTGGCTCTTGAACTCCAGACCTTGCAACAGCTCCACCCATCTCTGCCAGCAGTATCATTTCCACTTTAGCCCATGCTTTCCCCAGCCAGTGACCAAGGCAGAGATTGGGATAATTCTAGACTGACTCTGGACTTATCCTCCAAGCCACCTGACAAGCCTTTATACCGTACAGTTGTTTGTGAGTGCAACTATTGATTTTATTTTGTCCGTTAAACTTCCTTAAAGATGCTACACTATGGGGTGTGCTCTCCTCTCTCTCCTTGTTTTACACCAAAAAAAAAAAAATTGCTCTTAAACTCATATTTTGGAGGAGCAGTGTACATGAGGCCTTACACTGGTGGTAGGTGGGAAAAAAACGCCCCCTCTCAGACTAGCAAAATCATTGGTGTCAGTGGTTACTTATCTGGGAGTCCAGAAATTGCAAATTGTTCAAGGAACTCGTAGTAACTTCTGGAGGAACCCTATGAATCATGGAACTCTGGTTGAGAGAGGTTGGATTAGATACTCAAAATGAACGCCAGCTACTTGTTACTTCCTTGTCTTTCCTCTGCAGGAGCTGGAAAAATTGGAAATTATTTTTTTTTCTGTTCCTGAATAGCAAGTAAAAAGCTAACTAACCACTTATCTGAAATGTACACTGTATGTGATCACTTTTTGCGGATGACTTTTACATGGTGTTCATGCATTATTGTGATTCACCCAGCCATGCTGTGCAGCCAGGAAGATGTCTGTTTTCTTATTCTGAATTACAGCTTCCTGTGTCACCTGTCTGTCTATTTGCTGAAGAAAAATTAGGGATGCGGATTCATTATTTAGCAGGCTGGAGGTGAAACTGGGGCATGTGAATTTGCAAATCTGAAGCAGCAAATTAACCCATGCAATTGAAATGTACTGCACAGTATATACAGTGGATATAAAAAGTCTACACACCCCTGTTAAAATGTCAGGTTTCTGTGATGTAAACAAATGAGACAAAGATCAATAATTTCAGAACTTTTTCCACCTTTTTAATATGACCTAGAAACTACAACTCAATTGAAGCAACTGAAATCTTTTAGGGGGGGAGTAAACATACAAAACTAAAATAATGTGGTTGCATAAGTGTGCACACCCTCTTATACCTGCCAATTGTAGCTATGTTCAGAAATAATCAATCACATTTAAAATCATGTTAAATAGCAGTCAGTACACACCTGCCATCATTTAAAGTGCCTCTGATTAACCCCAAATTGAGTTCAGCTGTTCTAGTAGGTCTTTCCTGACATTTTCTTAGTCGCATCCTACAGCAAAAGCCATGGTCCGCAGAGAACTTCCAAAACATCAGAGGGATCTAATTGTTAAAAGGTATCGGTCAGGGGAAGGGTACAAAAGAATTTCCAAGGCATTAGATATATCATGGAACACAGTGCAGACAGTCATCATCAAGTGGAGAAAATATGGCGCAACAGTGACATTACCAAGAACTGGACGTCCCTCCAAAATTAATGAAAAGACGAGAATAAAACTGGTCTGGGAGGCTGCCAACAGGCCTACAGCAACATTAAAAGAGCTGCAGGAATATCTGGCAAGTACTGGCTGTGTGGTACATGTGACAACAATCTCCCATATTCTTCATATGTCTGGGCTATGGGGTAGAGTGGCAAAACAGAAGCCTTTTCTTACAAAGACAAACATCCAAGCCAGCTAAATTTTGCAAAAACACATCTGAAGTCTCCCAAAAGCATGTGGGAAAATGTGTTCTGGTCTGATGAAACCAAGGTTGAACTTTTTGGCCATAATTCCAAAAGATATGTTTGGTGCAAAAACAACACTGCACATCACCAAAAGAACACCATATCCACAGTGAAGCATGATGGTGGAAGCATCATGATTTGGGGCTGTTTTTCTTCAGCTGGAACTGGGGCCTTAGTCAAGGTAGAGGGAATTATGAACAGTTCCAAATACCTGTCAATATTGGCACAAAACCTTCAGGTTTCTGCTAGAAAGCTGAACATGAAGAGGAACTTCATCTTTCAGTATGACAACGACTCAAAGCATAGATCCAAATCAATAAAGGAATGGCTTCACCAGAAGAAGATTAACGTTTTGGAATGGCCCAGCCAGAGCACAGACCTTAATCTCATCGAAAATCTGTGGGGTGATCAGAAGAGGGCTGTGCACAGGAGATGCCCTCACAATTTAACAGATTTGGAGTGTTTTTGCAAGGAAGAGTGGGCAAATATTGCCAAATCAAGATGTGCCATGCTGATAGACTCATACCCAAAACAACTGAGTGCTGGAAAAAAATCAAAAGGTGCTTCAACAAAGTATTAGTTTTAAGGGTGTGCACACTTCTGCAACCATTATTTTAGTTTTTTTGTTTTTTACTTCCCTCCACCTAAAAGATTTCAGTTTGTTGTTCAACTGAGTTGTACAGTTTATAGGTTACATTTAAAGGTAGAAAAAGTTCTGAAATGATTTATCTGTGTCTAATTTTTTTACATCCCAGAAACCTGACATTTTAACAGGGGGTGCGTAGACCTTTTATATCCACGTGTGTGTGTGTTTATTTGATGACTATATTGCTGCTTTGAAAGTCATTTCTGACCGTAATTTTATTTTGAATGCAAAAAACTATTTTAGCCACTACATCTAATCGCTGGTGAGCTGCAATACAGTTGTATTCTGCGTATAGATAAACTTTTTAACTGTAACTGAGAAATGAGTTATGTCATCTACCTGGCTTTTCTGTGTGACAGGGCTGCATAAATCTCAAGACTGGATAGATACAAATACAAATCCTTTGACAGGGTTTTTTTCTTTCCCCCCCTCAAAGGATGCAGATCGAAAATTGTTATATGAAATTTCAGAGCAGGAAGAAATCACAGCTCGACTCCATTTTATTAAATTTGAAAACACATACATAGAAACCTGCCTGGACTTTATTAAAGATCATTTAGTGAATACAGAAACAAAAGTTATCAAGGCAACAGGCGGAGGAGCCTACAAGTTCAAAGACCTCATAGAGAAAAAATTGGGGTTAAAGTGAGTATTGCTGAAGATTAAAGAAACCTCTTAAGTTGCATTTCTGTTTACAGACACTGAATGCCTTGTGTCCTACTTATTATTTATTTATTTTTTTATATATTTTTAATGGAGCAAAGTGCATGAGATGTTCAGTACGGCTAAGCAGACTTTTAGCAGTGGCAGCAGTTGGCAATGAGCAGCCTCCATGTTAACATGCTATACTCAAGTATAATAGTCGGCCTTTATTATTATTATACAGTATTTATAAAGCGCCAATAGTTCGCTCAGCGCTGTACATTACAAAGGGGGACAGAACTTGTGACAGAACATAAACAATACAATGCAAAACATGAGGGGATTGAGGGCCCTGCTCTTTCGAGCTTACAATCTAGGAGGGAGGGGATGGTGGCACAGGAGGAGATAGCTGTGGGGGATGGAGTGGTAGGAAGTGTGGAGGAGGTCGGCAAGTTAGCAGGGGGTGGGGTAGGCTTCCCTGAAGAGATGGGTTTTCAGGGTTCTCCTAAAGGAGAGGAGAGTAGGTGATAATCTGATGGGTTGGGGCAGGGAGTTCCAGAGGATGGGTGACACCCTGGAGAAGTCCTGGAAGCGGGCATGGGAGGAGGAGACCAGGGAACTAGAGAGAAGGAGGTCTTGTGAGGAGCGGAGTGTGCGTGCTGGGTGGTACTTGGATATTAGGTCAGTGATGTAGTTTGGGGCAGTGTGGTGGACAGCTTTATAAGTCAGTGTTAGCATTTTGAATTTGATCCGTTGCGCAATCGGAAGCCAGTGGAGGGATTGGCAGAGGGGGGTGGCGGAGATGGAGCGGTTGGAAAGGTGAATGAGTCTGGCTGTTGTATTCAGGATGGACTGAAGCGGGGATACCCAGCGGCGAGGCAGGCCAGTGAGGAGGGAGTTGCAGTAGTCGAGTCGTGATATGATGAGGGAGTGGATGAGCTGTTTATAACTTCATAGTAACATGGTTGGCTGTAGGTTCACTTGTTCTTTGACCTGGAAACAACTGGCTGGGTTGTTGAATATACACGTTATGAATGCACAGCCAACAGATTATACCACTCCTATCACAAAAGGTATTTACTGACCACAAGGTCATACAGAAGTGAACTACGGCTAGTCCCAATAGCTGAAGCCTAAGGGGCTTTTAAGGTAACTTGTAGCAAATCTAAAGCTGGCTGCACATATTAAAGTCTGATTGAGCGGTCTCTGCAGTTTTCATAATATTTTTCTATTTTAACTTTTATCTTGCATAGCTCATTCATTTGGCATAGTGTGCTGAGTGAACAGATACAAGTCTATGTGGATAGAGCTGTAGTATTGAAAACAGGAGAATTGTGTTCTGGGTTCTGTAAAGTTCACATACACATTACAATCTCCTTTTAGATCTACCATCAACTATGTAGTTCAAGGGCCTGCCTAATTGGTACAGAGTGATTGAGAAGATAGGTGGGTCCTCCTATTCCGTAGGTTTGGAAAATCTAAAGGAGATTGTACAATCAGATTGCATTGTGTATAGTCACCTTTTATACACCTAAAATTAAGTAGTTGCGCTTTCGGTGCCATTTAATTACTGGCACACCAAACACAGAAAACTAACTCATTTTTACGTGTGAGAAAAAGTGGCAATCGCAGCAATGTCTGAACCCACTGATTATTTTGAGGTTTTCACTGAAGGATAAGTTTTTGTATTCTTTTGTTTGAAAGTCGCTGACAAGGAACACATATGCTCATATCAAGTGCTTTTGAAGAAAAATGAACAAAGTAGTATATAAATGATGTCTGCACTGAGTCTTGCAGCTTCAGAAATAAGTTTTTAGTAATGAGTTCTCAGATGTCTGTATTAACAAGCTATTTTAAATCTGAGCTCTGGGCACAAGAAAAATTCCTCATTAGCCAAAATAGATCTAAATCTACTTTTTGTGCGCATGTAATGCCTTTATAATCCAAATGTTACCTTGTAAAAGTAATACTGTCTTACATAGCCTGTGCAAAGCTGTACGAACTACAAGCTGCTTGCAGAAAACTACAGGAGGGGGTGGAGTCAAGACCAGTCACCCTGTACAAGGATGGAGAGAGGCAGTGACTGGTCTTTATTTCAGGAATCTCCTGCACAGGAGGCAAAGTTTCATACTGGATTACTGCACACATCTGGAAGAAAAATACAAAACGCACTAGTATGCAAGCATACACATGCCTATTTGTATTTGGAAAATATTTGCTTATCTTGGAGTTCAGCTTTAACATATTCAAGGGATATTCCACCCAGTTGCACACTTTTTTTTTTTTTTTCTTTTTATATAGGAGCTACTCTTCCTTTTTTTGATTTGATGCCTCAGTTGTTTGTAAACTGGAACAGTTAGTAAACAAGAAGTTTGCTTGATTATACCTTGGCACCTTGATTATACATTGGCACCAAAAGTGCATCTTGGCACTTTCTAAGAGGAAGCTATATTAAGGTGTATAAAATCAAATTATGCCTAATGTGTTTGTAGCTTTGTACATGTATTTTATAGATTTGTTGCCAAGTATTATTGACTTCTTTTTCTTTTCTTCTAGAGTGGATAAGGAGGATGAAATGACCTGTCTCATAAAGGGCTGTAATTTTGTACTGAAAAATATACCTCACGAAGCTTTTGTTTATGTAAAGCATGCAGATCCTGAATTTCGGTTTCAAACCACTCATCCCAACATCTTTCCATATTTATTAGTTAATATAGGTTCTGGGGTGTCCATAGTCAAGGTGAGTTGTTTTTATTTTTTATTTTTTTTTTTATTTTTTTTTTTTGTAGCAGAAGTGTAAAATCTTACTCCAATGCAAGAAATACTTCTATAGAACAATTCATATGTGATGTATTTTCATTCCTTGAAAACCAAAGTAGGAAATCAATTGACTTGGGGGTCAAGACACCTACTTTATTATTTTTATATATATATATATATATATATATATATTTTTATTTTTTTATTTTTTTTTTTTTTTTTTTTTTTCATGGCAACAATACCATTTCTTTATTAACGTCCTTTTTTTTTTTTTTTTTGCCAGGTAGATACAGAGGACAAGTTTGAGCGGATTGGAGGAAGTTCGATAGGTGGGGGTACTTTCTGGGGACTTGGAGCTTTGCTCACAAAGACAAAGGTCAGGCATTGCAAAAGAGTGCAGTTTTTCTGTTTTTAAGAGGTTTTTTTTTTGATCTTTTAAACCTTATTCCATAATTTCTGTATAGCACTTCGTAAGGATTTTTTTCTTTTTTAAAATAAACCTATTTATCACCAACAGAGGTTTGATGAATTATTACAGCTAGCTGCAAAGGGACAACATACGAATGTTGACATGCTGGTGAAAGATATATATATGGAGGTGCATACCAAATTCTCGGTTTAACGGGAGACCTGATTGCCAGCAGCTTTGGCAAGTCAGCCACAACAGACAAAGGTACGAGATATAAACAGATATGTTGCTTAAGAAGGTTAGAATGGAGGGTCCCATCTTGCTACCACTGGTGGGTCAGTTGTTGGAGGAAGTGTTCGCTTGCCCTACTGTCCAGTCATTGGAATGGGTGCACTTGTGAGACAAGAGGCTGTGTTACCATGTAACACACTCACCAGCAGTAGCAAGGTAACTGACACCACTGTACCTCAATGGTAGACTGTGTGGACAACAGTGCCAATTAATGTATATTGGCCAATATAACCAGTTATTCTCCATTTTCCTTTTTGTGCAGCTTGTTAACAGGAATCTGTAGAAAAAATAAGGCCAGAACTAAGATAGGGTATTGGATACAATTGGGGTAAATGTTGGGCCAAATGGTTCGGACCAGTGGATGTTGGGGACAGTGGGAACTGGATCTGAGATAACCAGTGGTAGAAAATTAGATTTTTATCAACCTGGGTATTATGCAAAAGATTGCATAGTTATGTAATAAACCAGGTTAAAAAGGCACGCCCAACCAAAAATCCATAAGGCTTTCTTGTTTATTGGCCACATGAGCTAAAACCTGAAAAGTTCACTTTCATTTTCTTATTGCTGTGGGAAACACCTTAATTTTTTTCTGTTTTCCGATATTATTTTTTTTTTCAATTTAACCCCCCTTTTCATAGTTTTATTTATTACAGGTATTTATATAGCGCCATCAATTTACGCAGTTGTGTGTGTGACCTAAAAAAAAAAATCTGTGCTTAAAATGACATAGTATGCAAAAAAAAAAAACAGCTAGGCACTATACGTTGATACCAGGCATTCAGCTTAAATATTTCACAGTGCAGAGCTAAATATGAACCAGAATATTTCCAAAAAGTGTAGGACAATTTTAACCTTCACAAGTTTATATAACAACTAGTATAGACATGTGAGAAAACATAAAAAGAAAACAAAGTGATAATAAAGTGTCCAAAAAGATGTGATTATTATAAACAATCAAATAATCAAAGTTGTTACATATACTGTATATTGTGCATTTACATCAGTCCCTAACCCTCAAGAAGCTTACAATCCAAGATTGCTAATTCACATTCATACATATACATACTAGGGCCAATTTAGACAGCAGCCAATTAAGCTACCAGAAAGTCTTTTGTAATGTGGGAGGAAAGCTGAGTACCGAGAGGAAACCAACGCAGGGACAGAGAGAACATGCAAACTCCAGGCAGGTTGTGGTTGAGATATTTACATGATTGGGATTCGAACCAACAGTTCTGGTACTCTTCAGGTAGTCCCTCTGGCTGCTAAAAACATTTCTAATCTTTTCTATTTAGTGATCTATTCATCATTGGAACCTTTTTAGCAACAGGCAAAAGCACAGTTTATAAGAATAGTTAATCCCCATCGTCTACTTAAAACATACAGTTTAGTTTTGAAGCATACTAAATAAATCCCATAGCTACAGATAGCATTTTATGGACTCCTCATTTGCAAGCTGCAATTTGTAATCCCAATACTAAGCACATTCTTAAAAAAATGGGATACCTTTTAAGTATTTTTAGAAAGGCCATCTCCTTCCACGCCCCTATGGCCATCCCTTGCCACAATCCTTCCTTTCTGCTGTGCTTTGGAGAACTCTGCAGGTTCCTTTTGATGAAACCAAGGATTTAATAATTCTGCACTTTACCTATTATGCAGGGGATCAGATCCTTCCTTCCAAACTTATCACATCACGAAGTCCCCTCTTCTGATAGTTGTGCTACCAACAGTTCAAATTTTGTACAAAACATTTTCAAACTTGCTTCTTCAACCCTCTCCATTACATGTTTTGTAGACCAGTGTTTTGACATTTCTCGAGAGAAGGGTACAGTGTCTCGAATACATTCTTGCATTCTTGATTTTGACTATTGTTACTTGCCTGCATATATAAACCAGGTGGAGAAGTGACCTGGGCTTCCACTTAGGTGCGGGGAGAACATTGGCTCCAAATCTTGGACCCGACAGCCCACGGATCAATATATTTTGTCTCTGGTGGAAGCTAAATATACATTTTTGGTAAATTGACATATGGTCCCTCAGAGGTTAGCAATATACTGTACTTATACATCAGACTGATGTTTTAGCATCTGTAACGAGTTGGGTATACTTAAACATACAGTATATAGTGGGGCTGTCTGAAATGTAAACATTTTTGGATCAATGTCTATCGACTGATATGTCTAGTACTAGGTAGGGACATTCACAAAGATCCATATGGGATCCTTCTTAATTTAAGGGTTGAGGTTTGCACGAAACACCAAAGAATATTGCTCCCTTTTAACTTCATAGCAACTATGTAAATGCTGGCAAAAGCTCAGTGGTCTGCTGAACCTACAATAGCCCAAGTCAAGAATAAATGAAAATGACTCTGTGAAAAGTTTGAGACCCATGAACACCTCACTATTTCCCACAGGATTTTGATTGCTTTTTATTGACTTTTTTGCCACCCTCTAGCTGATTAAATCCCTGGATGTTCCATGGATTCAGAGGGGTTTCCTTTTGTTTCGGAGGTCCTCCCCTCCCTTCCCCTGTGCCCCTTCGCACCCTTCCTATTTTGCTTTCTATGCTATTCCTATACCTTACTTTTTTTTCTTGGCCAAGATCACATTGGTATATTGATGTTCTGACCAATGTGGTCACATCATAAATCCTTTTTATGGAACGAACAAAAACGAAATAAAATTCTATTGAAACAGAATGCATACAATAGAATAAGGTATCTTGAAAATTATCTAAACCCTGTATCCTAACATACGGCATTGACCACGAGGTCTTTGAAAGAGAATCTTGGGAAACGTTTAAAATGAGCCACTGAAAGTCCAGCTGTGTTTTACAGGTCAGTCCAAAAATGCTATTGTGAAGTGATTGGGCATTGGAGGTATGTGGATGATACATGTAGAGAAAATGGTACATTTATCTGATCTGTCATTAACTACGTAACTATTTTTATTAAAATTATTTTATTAACTGTGGACCCACTCAAGCACAATTACTGTATGTCTGGTACAACATGAGTGCTGCAAAGGAAATGGAAAGATGCGGTGGCTTGCAAAAAAGTGGAGTAAGATTGTAGAATTCATTAACATGAAACTCTTTACATCTTCATCTGCTTCTTGTAGTCTGTAGTCAGTCTGCACTTTGTAGAAATCTTTAATCTGTCATGAAGGTGCACTGCCTATGTTTGTTTGTTTTTGAAAATGTTCACCTTTTTGTATTGGGCAGTCTTTAGCAAAAGCTGGTAATGGCTGTAACCTTATAGATTCTTGTAAGCCTGTACCTTTTCAGATAGTTTCAGATAGTTTAGTTGCCATAAAATGACAAATGGCCTTTTTGTACATGTGACATGTGCCGGAATATTAGTGTGTTTGTTTGCATTTTCATCCGTTCTGTTTATCGTTAATCCTAAATTACGTTTTGTTTTTACAAGGCGCTATTTCACGCTGTATTTCGCAGCCCTAAAATTGGGAGTGTGAAGGAACAAAACTATTTTCAAACTAAATATTGTAGGCATTTAAAAGTCACAGGCCTCTTTTTGGCATAACCAATCTTTGGCTGAACTTTATATATGGTGCCACATCCTAAGCTCTGGTGTAGACAATTACTTTGATTGTAAAGTGCACAGTCTACTTGCCTTTAGTAAAAAAGTGCAGTTGCAGTCTGCAAAAGCAGTTGCTCCAGAGCTTCGTAAATGAGCAGAAGCTCTGCTGACTTCCATCATCCAATCATGTGCAAGCAAAAATGCTGTTTTTATTTTCCTTGCCCTTGATTGGGTATTGTTTGCATAGTGAAGCCTTACCCTATTTGCCAAGTGCAGTAGCTCCAGTTCTTGGTAAAGTTCACAATCTTACAAGCCTTTAGTAAATCAACCCCATCGCATCACTCTTGCAGTCTTTAGAACTGGTGGGCAATTACAATCCTTTTCCAATCTAAAAAAGAGAATTTAATTTGCTGAATTCTACGCTTTTTCAGATTAAACATGTGGTCATTAGGTAATTTGGGCATGTAATACCTGTGTTTACAGCTAACTATTGGTTGCCCTTATGGTTAGAGTCTCTCCGAAATAAATTATTTCCGAACTCCCACGTAGCATTCCAGGACTCCTTGTTACATGCCTAGACTTATAACAGAAAGCTGTTAGTAGAACCCAAATCAGTCTTCACCGATCAGGTGTGGGAAGAGGTTCTAAGCAGCTGCCCGTTAGTCTTCTTGAAACCTACTGAAAAGCTCACCCATCTATTTATACTTACTTGTTTCTATTTGATCACCATTCTCTTAGCAAAATATAAACCATTATTAAAACTCATTATGCCCTAAGTGTTGTAGAGCCTCTGGCTCATTTGTCCACCTACTCTGGTCCTGCTCACAGGCTTACTGGAAGCAAATAATCTTTTTGCATGATATCATGAATTCCCCAGTTCAACGAGATCCTTGGTGTTGCCTACCGGTTCCTTTTAGAACATTTTTCTGCATCTTTTTTGCATAAAGTAGTGTTTGCTGCTAAGAATTTGATCGCTAAAGTGTGCACCCAAGCTGGGGCGGCTACTTTACAACTATGGAACACCATTCCAAGAACCTGATCTATGACCCAAGGTTTCCCTCAGATATTTGGATTATGTAGCAGGCAGAATCTTCTACTTGCTGCCCATTAGACTTTTAGTTCCTAATTGATTTTGAACAGAGGTTCTTGCATATTTAGATTCAGTGTACTCAGGAGGCAGTGCCATATATTAATTTGTGATTTATGTCTAGGGGTATTACCAAGTTCCAAATATCCCTATCTGAGACAGAAAATTTAATTTTTGGTTTAGGTTTTCATACTTTCTCAACCAATTTATACTCTTTTTATGGGCTTTACTATATAATTGTGTACTTATTCCTGCAGACGGTCTGTGATTTATGTCTGACATTTCATTTGTTTTCAGCAATTTTATAACTTGCCAATTTGTCTGTGTAATACATTCCTTTTGTGTAAGCTGTATTGCGGCAATCTTGTCTTATCTATTTTTTTTGACTGAATATATATGACCGTTGCATGTCTTTTTAAGCATTGATATTACCTTTTATGCCCATTTCAAAACTCATAAAATCTTAATTGGATTAAAAAAAATGTGAATGCCATATAGGTATCTTGGAATATTATTGCAGTTGATAGAATCTTTATTTTTAAGCAGCATATTCAGCAAACCACTAAAGGCACAGAAGAAATGCACATTAGATATGTTATTATCAAAGGATTTGTAACTCTGTAAAGCTAGTTTTGTGATTCAGAGAAACTTGCCATAGCATAGGGCAGGCTACACCCATTTTTCCCCATTCAGCTTTGCTGCTTCTGTGTTATCTATGTCCAATGCTTATGGAATGACCCAGGAAACTGTAAAATGTTACCAAAATGTACTTGAGTGATTTTATGTCAGTGCAAGACCACCAAAGGAAACAATTTTTTTTTTTTTTTTTGCAGGTAAACTGTAAAAATATTTGTTTTTTAGCTGATGTTGTTTTGCTTAATGTTCAGTTTACAGTAAATAACCATACAAAATGTAAAGAAGAGATATTTATTTAAATGTTGCTCCAAGATTCTTTATTTTTTTTTTTACCCCCTGCAAGGTCTGTGGTGCTGGGAGCATCCTCTCAATGATACCCTTCCAGTAGTGTCTGATCCTGGCCCCACATTCTTTCCACCAGCCCCTGTCCCACTGGAGGATGTGGTAGTAACATAGGGGCAGAAGGCACCACATATCTTGATGGGGGACCAGAAATCAGACCCCTTCATAAAGTTGTCAGATAAAGAGGATTCTCCAACTACTGGAGGTCTTGAAAAATGCAAAAATGGGCGACGAGACAGGTAGCTGAAATGTGCCTACCTTTTTTTTTTTTTTTTTTTTTAATTTGATATAGTTTATAGGTTGCTTTAAAAGGGGACTCTTCAGTTCTGCACATTTCATTTTCATAATTACAGTGCTTTCAGCATATACCTTGATTGCCTACCACTAAGCATACCTTGTCTGGAAGCTTTGGTAATGAGAGGATCTATGTTCCTCTCAGGTTACTGTTTAGGATCCTGTCAGATAAGGGTGTCATCTGGGAGGAAGTAAATGGAAATAATGAATCTGACTGTCCTGTAATTCTCCTTCCAGGAATCTTCCACAATGACTCCTGGCATAATTCTTTCTAACAAATATATTTTTATGCCTTTCTATTGCATCAGTTCTTTAGGAAACCTTGAGGAATTACAGCTGGGTTAACCTTTTTAAACTCCCTACTTGTCCCATTTTGGGTAGGTGGGATCTTCTATCAGATGATGTAAACCTGTTAGTAACGTGTGCAATTCTTGCTGAGTATAGACATGCCTCTTGGGGTGTAACAATGATAATCAATCAAGGGATACTGACACCTGGTGTTATATTAACCCCTTGCCTACCAGGCACTTATACCCCCTTCCTTACCAGGCCAATTTTCAGCTTTCATTGATTGACAATTGCGCGGTCATGCAACATTGTACCCAATGAAATTTTGATCATTTTTTTCTCACAAATAGAGCTTTCTTTTGGTGGTATTTAATCGCCACTGGGCGCTTTACTTTTTGCGCTATAAATTTAAAAAAGTGCAAAAAATTTGAAAAAAAAAAAAAGTTTATTTGTTTCTTTTATAAAATTTTTCAAACAGGTATTTTTTCTCCTTCACTGATTTGCGTTGATGAGGCGGCACTGATGGGCACTGATAGGCGGCACTGATGGGCAGTACTAATGAGGTGGCACGGATAGGCGGCACTGATAGACAGCACTAATTAGGGGTCACGGATAGGCGGCACTGATATGCAGCACTGATAGGCGGCACTGATAGGTGACACTGATGATGGGTACTGATAGACGGCACTGACTGGCATCACTTCTGGGCACTGACTGGCGGCACTGGCTGGCACAACCCCTGGGCACTGACTGGTGGCACTGACTGGCAGCACTGCTGGGCTGCACTGGTGGGTGGCACTGCTGGGCGGCACTGGTGGGTGGCACTGGTGGGCAGCACTGGTGGGTGGGCACAGGTGGGTGGCACTGGTGGGCACAGGTGGGTGGCACTGGTGGGCACAGGTGGGTGGGCACAGGTGGGTGGCACTTCTGGGCACAGGTAGGTGGCACTGCAGAGTGGCACAGGTGGGTGCACTGCTGGGCACAGGTGGGGGCACTGCTGGGAACGGGTGGGCGGGGCTAGTGGGCGCACTGCTGGGCGGAACTTGCGGGTGTCACTGCTGGGCACCGATCATCAGGGCACTGATCATCAGTGCCCTGATGATCGGTGCCGATCCCCGCTCTGACAACTGCCGGTTCTCGGCAGTACTTTCCTCACGATCTGACAGCATGAGGAAAGTGCAGCCGAGAACCGGCACTTGCATTTCCCTGTGATCAGCGTGTCATTGGACACCGCTGATCACGTGGTAAAAGGCCGGTGGGATCGGCCTTTCACCACATCACGTGATCAGCTGTGTCCGTAGGACACAGCGATCACGGAGATCGCCGGGTGCGCGCCCCCTGGGGCGCGCAGGAGAGCGCGTTCTGGGAGGACGTCATATGACGTCCACTCAGAACTAGCCGGCCGCGGTGAAGCCGTCATTAGGCTATGCGCGGTCGGCAAGAGGTTAAACTGTTATGTTTCACTGTAATAGTTGTTTGACACCCATTTCCCTTCTGTATATCTTCCTATTGGTCAGTGCAGTTGGTCATCTTCTTATTAAAGGTCTTATTGGTCTCAAGAACTGGAAGGAAGGCGGGACCAGCTTGATTTCTGCAGGAAAAGTCAGGATTTGCATATGTCAACCATCTAATCTATTTGTCTGTACCTGCTCTTTGTTTTGATATGCAGTGTTCAAATCTAAACTTGCTTTCACATTTTTTTATTCATATGAGCAGTTTTGAATTGCCCAGGTTTGTGCCAGGTTTACTTTACAGTATATCTAAAGCCAAAACATCCTCCTTCTTCTTTTTTTTTTTTTTTTTTTTTTTTTTTTTGATAGAGTAGGGGAGGGTTAAAGCCACTGTCAATTTTTCATTTCCCATCTGTCTCATTTGGAAGATTTCCTGTAGGCTCAATAGGAAATGAGGAAATCTTTCCAGTGTGTAGGAAATCCCTCTTTAAGACTGTTTGTTGTGGGAACAAGTGTCCCCATTAGAGGATTTCCCCACTCTTCCTGTTCTGGTGGTAACTAAAAAAAAAAAATGGATTTATCCTCACTTTCATTTCTGGTAAATTGGAAAGCAAATCAATTAGGGAGTGCAAGCTTCCCTAACTGGGACACAGACAGCAATAAAAACATGGCAAGGATTCTATCCCCTCGCCTCGATCCAAATCTTAAAAAAAAAAAAAAAAGAAAAGGTTTTTTTTTTTAGTTTTAATTTAAAGGTTTCAGCTGTGGAAGATTCTTGGAAAGGGAGTTGATGGGTAAGTCTAATTCAATATTTCTCTTATGTACCCTAGAATTCTCCAAAGAAGACATGGCAAAGAGTTTACTGCACATGATCAGCAATGACATTGGCCAGTTGGCGTGTCTCTATGCCAAACAGCACAACCTATCTCAGGTGTATTTCGGAGGCTTCTTCATTCGAGGTCATCCTGTCACAATGCACACCATCACCTACAGTATCAACTTCTTCTCTAAGGTGGGAATTGCAGTATAAAAGGCTATATAGGGAAATATTCTAGGCTGGCCACATGGCCTGATTATTGCTGTAATGTAACTGATTTGAGCATCACTAGCCACAATCTGGCAGTGTCAGGGTGAATTATGTTGCATGGGTGAAAGACGTTTGCCATGATTTAATCTCTTGACATGCTTTGAAGTCGTTAAAAGTGTCCTCCAGACAGACATAAAGTACACCTACAAATACAGCTCTGTATTTAAATACATTCTTTCTTTTTTAATGCATTTTAAAAGCAGCTAATGAAAGTACTGAACTTTTGCTTGCTATAAGGCTTTTGCAACTCTCTATACAGCAGCACCCAGACTAGCAGATGGAGGGGCAGGACTGGAGCCAATCAGATGTGCTAAATGCTAATGTGCTAACAAAGAGCATGCTGATAGGAGGAGAGAGTAGAGTGAGCATAGTGATGGCATCCTCATTCTACTTATCTCTTACTTATCTTCTTACTTATCTCATTCTACTTATATCTCAAAGGTGCCTGCTAGTAAAATACAGTGTCTAAACTGTGATGCTGCCTTCCTATAGTGATATACAAAACCACTATTTAGATGTGAAACAATATAAAGGAAGTTTTTATATAGGCGCTACCACAACATAAAAACATAACATATATATATAAATTCTTTATAAAGTCCACAGGAGCAAAATGCAACAAATCTTCAAGTGTTTCTTGTGTTTCAAATCTTGTGTCTGTGCCACCAGTCTCCACACCACTGTGAGAAAAATGCATTCACCGACAGAATTGTGTCCCTTATATTACTAAAGGTCAGACACCGCTTGTGGGTTTTTTATACTACTGCAACCACATCTTCAGGAAACCACCTAGAAGACACGATCCAGCGAAATTTACGCAGCACTTTACATATATATTGTACATTCACATCAGTCCCTAGCCCTCAAGGGGTGTACAATCTAAGGTTTTATTTGAAACACAAGGAACACTTGAAGATTTGTTGCAGTTTGGTGCGGCGGACTTTATAAAGAAAATATATATGTTCTATATATCATGTTTATGTTGTGGTAGCACCTGTTAATTTCCTTTTTATATTGTTTTTCACATCATTCTATTGTTGCTCTTCCACTGTCCAGGCAGTAGGTTGGGACAGAGGGGACACCGCGGTCTTCCTTCTACAGTATTGCCAATAGCACAGCCATGGTTGATGACAACATTTTCTCTGCTATGTGGCAGGGCTGTGTAAATCTGGGAAAATACACATACATTGGCAAGTAAAACTGCTCTCTTATTCGGACTTTGTGTATTTAGCTGTTTTTCATAGAAATGAATTTGTTTTATTGATTTTAAGGAAAACCACTCAGAACAAAAACCACCAGTAAAAGTAAATGGGTTTCTTTTTCTTGTCATGAGCTTTAGTAGCACATGTACTGCAAGTTACAAATTGCTTTCCAATAGCTGGGAGCTAATTTCTAATTAAGGAATGTTTGCATACTTGTCTCACATTTCCTAGCAATTACTGACCAGAATTTTGCATATAATAGGCTGGCTGTGTAGGTGCTAACTTCAAAGTGACAATGATGCTTGTAAGGTTGTAGGAAAATCTGTGCTCATTTAAGCCTTGTACACACAGGCCCTCTGAAATCAAGAGGGGAAAACATGGAAGGTCAGATTATAATTTAAAACTATTGTTGTGGCCAAACCAGAAATTTTTTTTTTTTTTTTTTACTCTCACCTGCAGAAGTCTTTGGCTATAGAAGTGAGAAAACTTTGACCTTAAAATTCTGTTTGAGGGTGAACAGATAAGTAAGCTGTATCTGACTACTTTAAAGGGAAGGATTTGCAGATGCTTACAAGACATGGAGTAGGCAATTAATGTTCATAGCCTGTGCTTTGCTAACATTTTATTTGAATTTGGACAGAGCTCAGTAATTTTCAGATTCATTATAGAGGTCTCCGTAGTGGTTGGTGTTGGAGATGGCATGAAAAAAAAAGTAAATCATCTGCACAAGCAACCAGTTTGTGCTATCCTGACTAGAGGACTATGCCTTGATGTTTGGGTTGTTACCTATATGGCGCAATAGTGTACAGAGTATATAAATGCCAAGGAGGATGTGGGACAACCTTGTTGGGTGCTATTGTATAAGAAAAAAAATTTGATGGGATCCCATTTGCACTTCTACGGGCACCAACTTAGTGAGGTCCATAAATATTGGGACATCGACACAATTCTAAAATTTTTGGCTCTATACACCACCATAATGGATTTGAAATAAAACGAACAAGATGTGCTTTAACTGCAGACTGTCAGCTTTAATTTGAGGGTATTTACATACAAATCAGGTGAACGGTGTAGGAATTACAACAGTTTGCATATGTGCCTCCCACTTGTTAAGGGACCAAAAAAGTAATGGGGCAGTTGGCTTCTCAGCTGTTCCATGGCCAGGTGTGTGGTATTCCCTCATTATCCCAATTACAATGAGCAGATAAAAGGTCCAGAGTTCATTTCAAGTGTGCTATTTGCATTTGGAATCTGTTGCTGTCAACTCTCAAGATGAGATCCAAAGAGCTGTCACTATCAGTGAAGCAAGCCATCATTAGGCTGAAAAAACAAAAGTAACCCATCAGAGAGATGGCAAAAACATTAGGCGTGGCCAAAACAACTGTTTGGAATATTCTTAAAAAGAAGGAACGCATCGGTGAGCTCAGCAACACCAAAAGACCCGGAAGACCACGGAAAACAACTGTGGTGGATGTTCGAAGAATTCTTTCCCTGGTGAAGAAAACACCCTTCACAACAAATAGCCAAGAACACTCTCCAGGAGGTAGGTGTATGCGTGTCAAAGTCAACAATCAAGAGAAGACTTCACCAGAGTGAATACAGAGGGTTCACCACAAGATGTAAACCATTGGTGAGCCTCAAAAAAAGGAAGGCCAGATTAGAGTTTGCCAAACGACATCTAAAAAAGCCTTCACAGTTCTGGAACAACATCCTATGGACAGATGAGACCAAGATCAACTTGTACCAGAGTGATGGGAAGAGAAGAGTATGGAGAAGGAAAGGAACTGCTCATGATCCTAAGCATACAACCTCATCAGTGAAGCATGGTGGTGGTAGTGTCATGGCGTGGTCATGTATAGCTGCCAATGGAACTGGTTCTCTTGTATTTATTGATGATGTGACTGCTGACAAAAGCAGCAGGATGAATTCTGAAGTCTTTCGGGCAATATTATCTGCTCATATTCAGCCAAATGCTTCAGAACTCATTGGATGCCACTTCACAGTGCAGATGGAAAATGACCCAAAGCATACTGCAAAAGCAACCAAAGAGTTTTTTAAGGGAAAGAAGTGGAATGTTATGCAATGGCCAAGTCAATCACCTGACCTGAATGCGATTGAGCATGCATGCATTTCACTTGCTGAAGACAAAACTGAAGGGAAAATGCCGCAAGAACAAGCAGGAACTGAAGACAGTTGCAGTAGAGGCCTGGCAGAGCATCACCAGGGATGAAACCCAGGGTCTGGTGATGTCTATGCGTTCCAGACTTCAGGCTGTAATTGACTGCAAAGGATTTTCAACCAAGTATTAAAAAGTGAAAGTTTGATTTATGATTATTGTTCTGTCCCATTACTTTTGGTCCCTTAACAAGTGGGAGGCACATATGCAAACTGTTGTAATTCCTACACCCTTCACCTGATTTGGATGTAAATACCCTCAAATTAAAGCTGACAGTCTGCAGTTAAAGCACATCTTGTTCGTTTCATTTCAAATCCATTGTGGTGGTGTATAGAGCCAAAAATGTTAGAATTGTGTCGATGTCCCAATATTTATGGACCTGACTGTATATTTTAAAGCAGTTCTACATAACATGACAGGTCTTTTTTCCGGGATGACTGAAATACAGTATAAGCATGGAGGGTATTCTGAAGCCTTTACCCCGCTTCCAAAATGTCATTATATGCCAAGGATGGCACTGAAGGTCTTGTAGTAATAGATGGGAAAACCATCTGGGCCTGCAGCTTTACACAACTACATTGACGAGAGGGCTAAAACAAACTCTTCTTTAGTAATAGGGCATTCCATGGCACTTCTATCTGCAGGTAACCATTGAGGGAGGCCAGATTCAGAAATGTTAGCCTTGAGGCTGAAAAGAGACAAATTATCCCCAAGAGAGCAAGAAAATCACTAGGGGTGAGATTACAGCTCCTCTATAGTACTTCTGAAACAAATGAATGTCTCAAAATTTGCAAATCAGGGGCCATTGTTATGTGGATCAATGTTCTGTGTGAGCTGTTAGTTTTTTTTTTTAATTGTGGAGTATCATGTTTTTTCTTGGATGTTCTCCTGTAAGGATTGTTCTCATGTTTTATAGTAAGGCACGGGTGTCAAATTCCTGACAACTTTTTATTCAATTTCATTGTGGGCTGCATTAGCATTGTTGTCTTCAAATGGCCGGTTACAGATGTAATACTAGATATCCAGAGCATCCTACCTTCCCTTACATCAGATGTCAAAAGCCTCCCCACCATCAGCAATAAAGAGCCCCCCCCCAACCCTCCCTTACAACCTTCTGCTGCTGCAGAAACAGTGCAGGGTCTGGAGGAGGACCAGAGGAGGGTTGCAGGCAGCTGCTAGTCTGCTGAATGCTGAGACCAGGGGAGGCAGAGTCAAGAGGGTGCTGTGGCTGCACAGAAAGGCTCAGGATCTGCAAGAGGAGCTCTATCCTTCTCTCTGCTTCTGACTACTGAGATGGGATGGGTGATGGCAGAGACTAGCCCCTCTGTGGCAGCACGGAGAAGCACGGGATTTGAAGGAGGGGTTCTGTACTGCCTGCTGCCGACTGTAGAGACAAGGTGGGGTCAGAGATGAGGGAGGTGCCGAAGTTGCAGGAGAGGTGCGAGGGCCACAAATGACCTGGAGGGCCGAATTTGGCCCGTGAGCCTCATGTTTGACACGTGTGTAGTAAGGGGTCAGAAATCTCTCTTGAGGTGCCTGAACACGGC